TGCCGACCGGCTCTCCCTCCTGCGCTACGTGGCCGGGGATGGGTGCCATGCTGAACTGCAGGGTCTCCCCCTCCTGCCTCGCGCCGATGGGACCTTTGTGGCCTTTGGAACTGCATCAGCCATGGTCTATGTGGACACGTCCGACTGCCCCAGGTGAGTCTGTGGCCCCAGGCAGCCCCATTCCCTGTGGGAGCGGGCAGGTGAGCCCGTTGCCCAGGGCGCCGCTCCCTCTCTTGAGCTGAAAGGGGGCCATGATCAAACCTGGACATTTGGGTGCCTCACTGCCCTCCTCCGCTCCCCTGGCACCCCCAAGTGGGAGCTGAGCTAGGTGTCCAGGAAGCTGCCTGCCCCCCCATTATGCCTCTAGTCGCCCAGCACCTCCATTGTCCCCACAGGGAGCTCCTGCCCGGCTTGGCTGGCTCCTTCCTGCCCTCAGACCTGGAGCCAGGCTTGGACAGCCTCCTGCGAGGCATTGCCAAGGCAGGTAAGAGATGGGGGGGGTCCCTGGACCCCTTTTGGGTGCCCCGATCTCCCTCTGAAGCTAAATGCCCTGAGGCACCCTTGGACACCCTGGGGCTCCTCTGCAGCCCCAACATCTCCCAACATCATGGTCCGTGATCCCTGTCTGGGGCCCCTCTCTGGGCTTCCCCCATCCATTCAACAGCACTGTAGATCCCAGGTCTCACTTGGTCAGGGGTGCATTGAGTCCAGGGCCACCTCTTCTATCCTGCATCTCCCTGTTTCTCTTGGGACTCCCCTGTTCTTGGTGTTCCTCCCACATTCCCCTGTCCCCTCTGTGCTCCCTCGGATCCTGGGTTTCCCTGTGTTCCCCATCTGAGGACCTCCATGGCCCCCAATACTGGTCCCCCAACAAAATCGCAGATCTCCTCTATCCCCACCAATCTGGGGTTCCGTTGACCCTCCTCCCCAGGGTATCCACTGTCCCTCCAGAGCCCGGGTCCTCCCATCCCCAGTATGAGGGGCGCCCATCCCCTGCAGATCTCAGGTTCTTTCCCCCACATCCTGGCTCCCCCTGCCAGGTCCCAGGTCCTATGTACTCCTCATCCAGCCTCTGCCTCCTGCACACAGGTCTTTTCCCCAACCTGGTTCTGCTGGACCCAGCTATGACTGCCCAGACCCTACGCTTGGCTCTGCCCCCCACCTGGATGTCCCAGTCTTCAATGCCAGTGACCTGGTACCCAGCCCAAGGCCCCCCCCAGCCCCCAGCCTCCTGGTTCCCAGCCCTGTGGCAATTCCTGGCCCACCACGTGGAAGACCTGAGACCTCTGGAGGGGCTTCCTCTCATCTCGCTGTCCCCACTGGGTGCCTCCAGCATCCGTCTGGCTCCACTGATACCCCGGTCCAGTCTTATCTTCCAGGCATGGGAGGACCAGTGCCTGCCACCTGCTGTGGCCTCTGTGATGGAGGTCCTGGGTTGTCCAGTGGTGCCACCAGGAACATGGCACCGCTCTCTGTCCCGCTATGTCCTGCCTCCATCCCCACTCAATGCCCTGCGGGCCCTGGGCAGGCGAGGGGTTGCAGCTGTGGCCTCCTGCCTGGCCTCGCTGCCTGCTGCAGATGTGGCCACCCTCCGGCTCTACCTGGCAGACATCCCATCCCTGACAGCGCAGGACAGGGCCACACTGGCTGCTCTGCCCCTCTTTGTCCAACTGCCCTGCTTGGCCACCCCAAACCCCACGCAGCTGGTACCGGCTGGCACCACGTTGGCGCTGGAGTCAGAGCCGGAGCTGCCCAGCGCTGTGGTGCTGCCGCAGGCCATGTTGCAGTGCCGGGATGAAGTTGACCGGCGGCTCCTGGGAAGGCTCCAGAGGCCCCTCATCAGTGTAGCCCATGTGGTGCTGGGGGCCATCAAAGCCGTAGCCCAGGGTGCCTATGCAGGGCGGGCGGCTGAGACACAGGCTCTGCTGCTCTGGGTGCTGCAGCATGGAGACATCCTCTTTGCACAGAGCCCCCCACTCCAGCAGGCCTGCAGCAGGCTGGCCTTCCTGGAGACACCCAACGGCCCCGTGTGCCCGCAAGACCTCTATGACCCCTGTGAGAAGACCTTGCAGGCGCTGCTGGGTCCCGAGTGCTTTCCTCCTACTGCTTTCCGCAGTCCGCCTGTCCTCCGTGCCTTGAGAACCCTGGGCCTGCGGCACGGGGAGGGGTGCCTGGTGCCTTCGGACATCCTAAAGGCTGCAGCAAGTGTGAGCCAGGGTGGCACAGCGGCTCTGGACAGGGCTCGGGCACTGATCAAGGTCTGCAACTGCCCCAAGGCACTGGCTGGTTTCAGCGCTGCAAAGCTTAGGCAGCTCCAGGCTCTGCCATGGGTGCCTCGTTCCGAGTGCACTGGGAAGCCTGGGCAGCAGTTCCTGCCCCCCAACAAGCTGCGGTCCACCCAGTACCAGCCCCTGGTGGGGCTTGCCATGCACCTGACTGACGCCTTTGTGCCAGAGGCAGAGAAGAAGCTGGGGCTGAGCCAGCCCCCACCGCCAGAGAGAGTGTGGGAGCAGCTGAGACAGCTGGCAGGGCGCCGGGACGTGGCTGAGGTAGGTCCCGCGCTCCAGCCTGTCTACCGGCACATGCAGGAAAACCTGAAGACCTTTAGGGCTGCCCCGGATGATGCTGTGGTGTGGACCGGGACTGGGTTTGTCCCCCCACGTGATGCTGTGCTGGGCTATCCTGAGGAGCTGGAGCTGGGTATGCTGGTGCCCAGGGTGCCTCCTGACTTCCTCGCCTACAGCTGCCTCTTCAGGGCTTGGGGGGTGGCGGCGACAGTGAGTGAGGAGAGGGTGGTTGCAGCCCTGCGCTGCCTGGGGCAGGACATAGACAGGCGCAGCTCCAGAGCGGGCACTGCAGCAGAGTTGCAGGTGGCTGTAGCTGTCCTAGAGTGGCTTAAGAGTCGGGGACACCAGAGTGAGGGCACGGTGCCGGTTCCCGTGAGGATCCCGGAGGGCTTGGGCTTTGCCCTCCGCCCGGCTGTTTCTACCGTGTACCTGGACATGGAGCTGGAGGCAGAGGAGGATATTCAAGAGGTGGTGCATGAGGCAGTGCCATCCAGCACAGCCGTATTCCTCGGCACGGAGCTGCTCAGTACGCGGGTGCTGGGGCCGGAGCCGTTCACGGCCTGTGGCCCCTCAGAGCCCATCACCTTACGGCTCCGCAACATCCTCCGGGAGTACGGAGAGGAGGGCGACCTCTTCACAGAGATGGTCCAGAATGCAGAGGATGCTGGGGCTACTGTGTGCCGCTTCCTTCTGGACCTCCGACGCTGCAGAAAGGCCACCTCTGGGCTGCTAGACCCTGGCATGAGTGCCTGCCACGGCCCAGCCCTCTGGGCCTACAACAATGCCCTCTTCACAGAGGATGACCTCCGTAACATCACACGGGTTGGGGCTGCTACGAAGGAGGGCCAGGCAGGCCAGATCGGGCGCTTTGGGCTGGGCTTCAGCTCTGTCTACCGTGTCACAGATGTGCCGTCAGTGCTGAGCGGGGAGACACTGCTCATCTTTGATCCCAATGGCACCCATCTGGGCAAGCATATCCCCAGGGCCGGCTGCCCTGGCATCCGCCTGGACTTCTCCAGCCGACCACGCATCCTCCGTGCCTTTGCTGAGCAGTTCTGGCCCTACCATGGCATCTTTGGGTGCCGCCTGCCTGAGCCAGGACCATTTCCAGGGAGCCTTTTCCGTCTGCCTTTCCGCACTGAAGAGGAAGCTGTGAGATCACAGATTTGCTCAGAGGCCTTTGGTACGAAACGCATCCAGTCCCTTGGCACCAACTTCCTTGGCTCTAACCGGCTCCTGCTGCTCTTCCTGCAGAGGGTGAGGGAGATGTCCCTGGAGATGCTGCCAGACATGGCCACTTCTGCGGCGGATACCACGCCCCTGGCCACGCTGCGGCGAAAGGAGATCCGCAACTTCAGGGGCCCTGGGGACCCCCCAAACTGGGCAGCCATCGAGCAGCTCACAGCCTGTGATGAGGAATCCAAGACCACATGGCACTACCTAGTTTTGGTATGTCAGGGTGATGGGGAGTTGCTGGAACTGTTTCACCGGAACACACAGGCAGGGCTCCATCCTCTGCCTCCCGTGGCTGGTGTGGCCCTTCCCCTTGCCCTTACTGCAGCTGGCAACTGGGTGCCACGTCTGGATGCCGAGGAAGGGCAAGTCTTCTGCCACCTTCCCATGCCAGTCACCTCAGGGCTGCCAATCCACGTGCATGGAGCCTTCAGCATCCTCTCAAACCGCAAGGGGCTGTGGGACACGGCAGAGCGAGGTGAGTGGAACCGGCTGCTGCTCCGCAATGCTGTGCCGGTCGCCTGGCTCCGGGCGCTGGACCACCTCCGCACCATGCATGAGGCAGGTGAATTGGAGAGCTATGAATATCATGTCTTCTGGCCAGACACTAACACTGCCCGTTACCCCTTTACGGAGGCTGTGACCGGTTTCTACCAGGCTGTGGCAGCCCGGAATGGCCCCAGGCTGTTTTCTGATGGCTGCTCATGGTGCTCACTGCAGGACGCCCGCTTCCTGCACCAGGCTGTGGTCAGACACCCCAAGCTGGGTGCTGTGGCCAAGCGTGTCTTTGCCACCACCCTGCCCCATCCCCTGTTAGCTGTGGCCTTGCCAGAGCAGGTGCAGAGGGGCCTTGGGAAGGCAGCGGATGCTGGCACCTATGACTGGCCCCGCTTTTACTGCGAGCTTGTGCTTCCGAACTTGGAAGACCTCTCTGTTGTTGACCGGGACCCACTGCTTCTCCATGCACTGGATATGTCCCATGATGATGTGGACAAAGTGCTGCAGAGAGTGCTCCTGCCACCCCTCATGGCCACTTGCAGCTCATCAATTGCCTGGTGCACCCCAGAGGCCGCATTGCCTCTTTATATGACCCTAAGGATGGGCGCTTCCCCACTGGAGACACCTTCCTTTCCCCAGAAAGACTAAGGCAATTGGAGAGGCTGGGCATGATTAAGGACACGATCACCCTGCCAGAGCTGCTGGAGCGGGCAAAGACAGTGCAGCTTATCTGGACCAAGGACCGTGCCCAGGGCTGCCGGAGGGCTGCCAGAATCCTTGAGCTGCTTCAGGATGCAGTGGAAAAGAGGGTGAACAACCCCATGCAGGCAGATTTCCAGACTGTGCCCTTCCTCCCTGGTACACTGCCCACCGGCGAACTTGTGCTGTTGCCAGCTGCCCAGGTCTACAGTCATGTCCATGCCCCACTAGTGGGACTCATCCACCCTATCTTGGCTTCTAAAGCACTGGGGGGAAACTTCAGCCTCCCTGAGGAGGTTGCATCCTTCTTGGGGCTGGACCGGCAGCTACCAGCAGCTGCAGTCCTTGAGCAGCTGCAGGCACTGAGCTGTAGCTCCAATGCTCTCCCTTTGGAGAACCTGCAGAACAGCACCTACCACTGCTACAAGCACCTGGACAAGCTAGTCCAGAGAGATCAGTCCAGCTGGGATGAGGTGGCTTCTGCAGTGGCCCAAGGGGAGCCCTTCATCTTGGTGGGCTCCCGCTTTGTGCCGGTCATGGCTGTGGCTGAGACGCTGTCATTTGAGGCTGTCCCGTATCTTCACCAGCTCCCGGAGCAGTACCGGCCCTACAGCCAACTCTGGAAGTGCGTGGGGCTGCGCCACTCATTCACCTGGGATGATTATGCCAAAGTGCTCTGCATCCTGGCAGAGACGCATGCTGGAGAGCCGCTGCCAGCCGCGGAGCTGGCTCTGGCCGTGCGGCTGGTGTCTTCTGGCTTGATGGCAGATGACAAAGAGCCAGATGCGTACCAGACCCAGCAACTCTTTCTACCTGACCAGGAGGGCATTTTGCGTCCACGGGACAAGCTCCACTTCAATGATACACCATGGTTGCCAGTGGACAAAGATGTCCTGCTGTGCCATAAGCAGCTGTCCCGAGCCACAGCCCTGCGCTGTGGGGTGCCTACCACATGCCACCGGGCACTGCAGAGGATCCAGCTTCACAGTACAGACCTGAGCCTCTGGATGCAGCCATTTGGTGCCTGTGAAGACTTGCCAACACGCCTGAAGAACATCTTGCATGAGTACCCAGCATCCGCTCATGATATGGTGAGAGAGTTGCTCCAGAATGCAGACGATGCTGGTGCGAGGCTTGTGCACTTCGTGTGGGACCGCCGGCAGCACCCAGAGGATGCCACTTTCAGTGAGAACTGGAAACTCCTGCAGGGCCCTGCCCTCTGCATCTATAATGACAGCCCCTTCCAGCAGCAGGACATTGAAGGCATTCAGCGTCTGGGGGTGGGTGGCAAGCAAGGCCGGCAGGATGTCACAGGCAAATATGGCCTTGGCTTCAACACTGTCTTCCACTTTACTGACTGCCCAGCCTTCCTTACTGGAGACAGTGCCCTGTGTGTCTCTGATCCCCATCTCTACTACATTCCTGGAGCCACAACTGAGAGTCCTGGTGGGATGTTCGCTGTCAATCCTGAATTCAAGAGGACCTTTCCAGATGTTTATGACACCTTCCTACCCTCCCTCTTCAACCTGAACCAGGGTGTCCTTTTCCGGCTGCCCCTCCGCACCGCAAGTGGAGCTAACATGTCCAGGGTGTCTGACATGGTTGTGCGGGACCAAGACCTCATGGCCATGGAGAGAGTACTGGCTGAGGAAGGTGAGGACTTGGTGCTCTTCCTCCGGCACCTCCGCACTGTGGTCTTCTCTGAGATCCCCCCAGATGGGGAGCAGTTGTTGGAGAGGCTGCGGGTGGCCACAGAGCTGACAGATGGTGATGCAGAGCTGAGACAGGATTTTCAAGAGAGCCTGAGCCAAGCCACAGATGGGAACAGCCCCATCTCTGTCTCCTATATCATGACAATCAAAACCAGCAAGGCCAAGGCCAAGTCCAGCACCGTGTGGAGGGTGATCTCCCAAATTGGGGTGCAGGAAGGGGCTGAGGAGTCTCCGGTGCCTGGGCGGCTACCCTACGGGGCGGTGGCTGCCTGCCTGGACCCATTGGGCTTGGATAAAGTCATAGGCAAAGCTTTCTGCACCCTCCCACTGCCGCTTACCACAGGGCTACCTGTACACATCAATGCCAACTTCTCCGTGGATGCGGCCAGACGCAATATCCGCCAGGACCCAGACAGCACAGAAACAGCCTGGAATGGCTTCTTGCTCCAGCGCTTGGTGACTCCACTGTACTGTGCCTTTCTTACCAGGCAGTGGGAATCTCTGGACCCTGAAGGGCTCAAGTTCTTGTCCCTGGAGGACTGCCAGAAGCAGCTGGCCTCCCACTACCTCCAGTTCTTCCCTACTGTGACAAAGGCACTACCTACCTTTCAGGACCTGGTGAGAGATATCTATAGGCACATCAGTCATGCACGCCTGCCTCTGGTGCCTGTGTACCACATGAAGTCACCTAACAGAATGGTGACAATGACCTGGGCATGTCCAGGTGGTGGGAACGTGCTAACAGAGCCATACTTTCTCAAGGTGAGGCCTGAGCTAGCTCTCCAGGAGGTGCTGCAGCGCCTGAACATGAACCTGGTGCCAGCATTTATCAACCTGCGGCAGCTCTATGAGGAGTTCATTGAAGCCCACGTGGATGCTGTTTCCTTGCAGCCGGCCTCTCTCCGGCGCTTCCTCAAGGCCCTGGCACTTCCTGTGCCCTGCAAGCTGGCTGAGACACCCCTGCAGAACGCAGCGAGC